CTTTCCTTCTCCACCTTGGCCGGCCCATATGGGGGGCGCACCAGCCCTTTGTGGCTGGTGTGTTTCCCCTCTTGGCCCATAAGGCCCATATCTTTTGCCGGGGGTGCCCGAAACCCCTTCCGGTGACCCGATAAGTACCCAGTACCCCCCGAAACACTTCCAGTGTCCAAATACTATCGTCATATATATCAATCTTTACCTCTTGACCATTTCGAGACTCCTCTTCATGTCTGTGATCTTATCCGGGACTCCCAACAACATTCGGTCACCAAATCACATAACTCATATAATATTATATCGTCATCGAACGTTAAGCGTGCGGACCCTATGGGTTCTAGAACTATGTAGACATGACCGAGACACCTCTATGGTCAATAACCAATAGCAGAACCTAGATGCCCATATTGGCTCCTACATATTCTACAAAGATCTTTATCGGTCGAACCGTTATGACAACATACATAATTCCCTTTGTCCATCGGTATGTTACTTGCCCGAGATTCGACTGTCGGTATCTTCATACCTAGTTCAATCTCGTTACCAGCAAGTATCTTTACTTGTCCCGTAATACATCACCTCGTGAATAACTCCTTAGTCGTTTGCTTGCAAGCTTATGATGTGTATTACTGAGAGGGCCCAAAGATACATCTCTGATACTCAGAGTGACAAATCCTAATCTCGATCTAGGCCAACTCAACAAACACCTTTGGAGATACCTTTAGAGCATCTTTATAATCCCCCAGTTACGTTGTGATGTTTGATAGCACACAAGGCATTCCTCCGGTATTCGGGAGTTGCATAATCTCATAGTCGAAGGAATATGTATTGGACATGAAGAAAGCAATAGCAATAAAATTGAACGATCATAATGCTAAGTTACGGATGGGTCTTGTCCATCACATCATTAGCCTAATGATGTGATCCCATTATCAAATGACAACTCATGTCCATGGTTAGGAAACCTTAACCATCTTTGATCAATGAGCTAGTCAAGTAGAGGCTCACTAGGGACATGGTGTTTGTTTAACACATGTATTTAGGTTTCTGATCAATACAATTCTAGCATGAATAATAAACCTTTATCATGGATAAGGAAATATAAAATGACAACTTTATTATTGCCTCTAGGGCATATTTCCTTCAGAAAAGATCTTGAGTCGCTTTGGTTACAGACATTGCAAGCCCTCTCGAACACCATACGATGCTAGCATGCTGCTTCGAAAGAATCGAAGAATTGCTAGAGATCAATTGAAGTATTCTCAGATTATTGGCTCGCTTATGTATTTAGCGAGTGGTACAAGACCTGACATCTCTTTTGTTGTTAGCAAACTGAGTCGGTTTGTCTCAAAATCTGGAGATGTGCATTGGAAAGCTCTAGAGAGAGTTATGCGTTACTTAAAAGGCACTACGAGTTATGGAATTCACTACACTGGGTACCCAAAGGTATTGGAAGGGTATAGTGACTCAAATTGGATCTCAGATGCTAATGAGATAAAGGCCACGAGCGGATATGTATTCACTCATGGAGGTGGCACTGTTTCTTGGAAGTCTTGCAAGCGGACCATCTTAACGAGGTCAACAATGGAAGCAGAACTCATGACACTAGATACAGCTAAGGTTGAAGCAGATTGGCTTTGTCGGCTCTTGAATGACTTGCCGGTTGTTGAGAAACTTGTACCGTGTATCCTTATGAACTACGACAATCAAACTGTGATCACAAAAGTGAGCAGCTCAAAGGATAACATGAAGTCATCAAGACACGTTCCGAGAAGGTTAAAGTCTGTCAGAAAAATGAAAAACTCTGGAGTTGTTGCATTGGATTATATCCGAACGTCTAAAAATCTGGCAGATCCTTTTACTAAGGGTCTATCACGTAATGTGATAGATAATGCATCGAAGGAGATGGGTATGAGACCCACAATGTGAGTTGTTCACAGTGGTAACCTAGTCTATGTGATCGGAGATCCATTGAATTAAATGTGAAAGACAAGTTGTTGGTCAACTGAGAGGAGGGTATCCTTACTATTAACAATACCACTCAATGAAGATGCAATACTCTCCTAATCTGCATGGCAGGTTGATGTATATCTTAATGCGTTCTAAGTGGCTCATTGAAGCAGAGATGTTGTCCTGCAGAACATCTTTTGAAGAACACACCTATATGAGTCTGATTGTTAAACGTCATAATCTATGAGGGTAGGGTACTCTCTAGTAAACTCATGAAAGGTCTCGGAGTATGACGCATAAGCTCCACCAGTGAGGAAGACCCATGGTAGCCAAGTATCGGTCAAGGCTTTGTGTGAAGCTAGATTCGCAGAAAACTTGCAGTTTAAGGCCCAGTCCATTGTTCAAGTTGCTTCCCAGTGTAGCATAGAGTTCTAGGTGGAAGTTCAACTTAACAGTCTCCACTGCAGTACCGGTATATAAAACAGTGTTTTGGAACCAAAGGCAAATTTTGTGTGCCTCTGGGATCTGGTGGGGGATTGCTGAAATTTTGTCTATTTTGGGCCAAGCCCAATAGCGGTTTCAGAAATTCCTAATAAATCCTAGAGGCCCATACAACCCATTCGTGCAAGGCAAGAGGTGGAAATAAAGTTTAGTCCCACATTGCTAGTTTAGTGGGAGTTGGACCTCCTTATAAGGGAGGATGTTTCCCCACATGTATGAGCATGAGAACAAGAGGGACATTCACGCGCGCTCCTTCTCCGTTGCCCGCCTCGCCACGTCACGCCACGCCTCGTCACGACGCACCGCGGGTTGCGGGGAATGAGCTGAGCCGATGTCTAAATTTTTGCCACGCACTATGGGTATACGAAAGGTCACTCCGGAGCTGGAAAGTTTTTGCTGTAGTGGATACTGAATATGAACGGTGCACCCTTCGACTGCTTCTTGTTCGTTTCGTCTCCCTCGTTCCCTTAAGCTCTCGGCGTAGCCTCTCGCCTTCTTCTCCCGTGCCTATAAAAGGGAGGTCGCTCCTCTCCAGAGAAACACACCAGAATACTCTCTTCCTCTAGCCACCAAGTTCCTGAGCACTAAGCTACTGCCACAATCTTCCCCATCCCGGCTTGCGGCGTGCACCGCAGTCCTGTATTAGGGGGTGTCCGGATAGCCGGACTATACCTTCGGCCGGACTCCTGGACTATGAAGATACAAGATTGAAGACTTCGTCCCGTGTCCGGAAGGGATTTTCCTTGGCGTGGAAGGCAAGCTTGGCGGTACGGATATGTAGATCTCCTATCATTGTAACCGACTCTGTGTAACCCTAGCCCTCTCCGGTGTCTATATAAACCGGAGGGTTTTAGTCCGTAGGAACAACAATCATACCATAGGCTAGCTTCTAGGGTTTAGCCTCCTTGATCTCGTGGTAGATCTACTCTTGTACTACCCATATCATCAATATTAATCAAGCAGGAGTAGGGTTTTACCTCCATCGAGAGGGCCCGAACCTAGGTAAAAACATCGTGTCCCTTGTCTCCTGTTACCATCCGCCTAGACGCACAGTTCGGGACCCCCTACCCGAGATCCGCCGGTTTTGACACCGACAGTAAGCCTCCGAAACCGCACCCCTTTGAGTCTTGTACGGGAGAAAGGTGATAAGGTTTTTGGGGAGCGCCTGCGCGACTACTGACCAGTTCATCACAAACGCTCCGGACACCTACGACCACTTCCCCAACGATGACTTCTTCCTCAACGTCGACAACCTCTTCGACGACATGGCTGGCAAGAATGTCGACCCCAAGTCCAGTGCTGCCGCTGCTGTCCCGTACGTGTTCTTGCTCTTTCTGTTATAGGTCCTGCCTCGGTTCTTTGTTCTAGTGTCTGTCCTACATATGTTAGGTTCTACTTCATATTTACATATGGTATTTACCTTCTCACTGTCAGATTGCATGACTTATTTCTCTGCTATAATAGTCATGTTTTATCTAGTATTTCTGTTAATAAAATCATATGGTAAATTGCTCATATTTCCAACAAAAGCATATGTCCCTGCATAATCTTATCAACTAGGGAATGTTAGAAAAATTATATTATACAATATATAGTCTCACAAACAAGTCACATACTTATTGATACATATTAGTGATGATGTCCAAGGACAAAAAATCCCATAGTTAGATTCACGTCTGAACCTGGGCCTCCTCAGAGCTTAGCGATTTTGGGCTGTCCGAACTCGAGCTTGATGCCATTCTACCGGTCCGATTTAGCCTCCAGTGATTCCTGGCCGTTAGATAAAAATCGGGTTCTAAGCAATGAATAGTAAAAGCCAAATACACTTCATGATTTTGATCTTATCTGGCTGAACTGTGGGGCCTGGTGTTCGTGGGTTGTGCGTGTCAGCGGCCTTGGCTGTAGGCGTGCCCGGTGCAATCCTTCTGTGGTCAAAGACGAGTGGCCCCGCCAGAAATTTCCCTGCCCCGCTGAGGGCATTCGTGGTATTTCACGTGTGCGGCCGTGCGTGGCGTGGTGTGGATGGTTAGGTTTCACGTATGGGTGAGGAGGGTGCCCGATTGGTCAGACTTCAGAACCCTAGCCTCCAGTCCCACTCGCGCTCCTCTCCTTCGCTCTTGCAGTCGTCGCCGCGCTCCTGTCCTCCTCTGCTCGCCCTGCTCCCCATACTCGGCCCCACACCCGTCTAGGCGTCTCCTCCTCCTCCCCACCCCATTGGCGGTCGGCAGTAGGAGCGCAGCTCGCTGCCGCCCCCTTGGAAGAGGTCCGGCTGCCTGCCCCACCACCACCCACCAGCAGGAGACCCCCGCCACCCCTCCATCGCGTTCATCGGAGGAGCGTCGTCATCCATTCACACAGCTGCTCCGCCCGAAGGCGTCACCATCGACGGGAAGACTCGGTGTCGTCGCTGTCATGCTCGCGTGCACCCGTCAGGAGGACTGCGGCCCTTCTCTCTCGCTGCTGGCGGGTGACCGGCGCATCCAGGTCCCAGAGTGGCCCTCTCCGGCTCTCAACTCGGGGAGCCGCTGCTATGAGCGCCGGATGCCCTCGAGATGGTCGGAGTTGTAGCGCCTCCAATTCCGGCTCCATCTCCACCCTTACAGGTTCACCTCTCTCTCTCACACACTCCCCCCCAACCAACAGTCGCAGAACAGACGGAGAAGAACGCTGCCTAAAGAAATTGAGCTTCTGTTGTACCTTTGATCATCTTCGTGGCATTTGCATCTAATGATATGCATGACAAGATTCAGTTTGTGCCCGGGACACTGGAATGATTTTTTTTCTAAACGAGTAAAGTGGGAACTGAATTTATGAGTTGTTGTCACTGAAAGTATAAACTGTGAATGTTTCAGATCAAGTATGTGTAAGTAGTTGCGTCTTTAGGAGGTCTGAATATATAAGTTGCTGTCACTGATAGGTATTAGTATGGACATGCAGCTTTTTGATAATTTCCTCCTTAGGAGATCTGTTTCCTTCAAGTACAGCTATAGCAAAGAGACACCAACTTATTTTAGTGCTTGAGATTTTGATTACCAATCTGCAACAATGCCCATTGCACTCTAATTATTTTCTTTGCTCATTTGTTCTCCTGCAGATGGTTTACGTCTTAACTGTCTACAACAAAAGGGATAAGCAGCACTGCATCCGGGTACCAAATCCATTCATGCCATTCCGTATTCCTCTCATCATACACTTAATCATAAAAATCAGCTTATTTATTACGGCCCTGCCAATTAAGCTATCAAACTACTGTTACTGCAATTGGTCTTGAAAGGCCACTAAACTATTACTACATTATTTGGCACTGCTGTATGATTTATTCATTTGGAGGAACTTCTTTTATTGGTGAGAAAAATAGAAATATCCTATAAGTCTACTGAGATTTCCAATGTGAATCCTTGCTAATCCTACAAGTCATGTTCTTGATATTAAGTTGACGTTACCTTTCTAAGACCTGAGTTTTCCTATGAGAATCTTCACTAGATGTTAAGTTGAGGTTACCTTTCAAGTAAACTATTACTACAATATTTGCCACAGCTGTATGATTTATTTTCTTGAGGAGTTTATTGTTGTTTTAATTGGTTCCAGACTTCCAGTTCCAGTACTCATCAGTTACCAAAATACCGACAAAATGTGCGGTGCTCTTTCCTAACTCGTTTTCAATTCTTTGCAGATCCATGTGCACTGTGAAATTCCAGATGGTATCAGTGTGCCCACAGAACTCCAGAGTGTTGATGATTACCCAGACAACCAGTTCACATTCAGTGTCAAGCACTTGGCTCCAATATCACTGACATGCCTTATGCCTCCATCATACCTGAGCCATCATCCTCCATACTTCTTTCTCGGTGTACAGTGGTTGGATACTGTGAAGGTCTCAACCCTTTGTCACATGCTTGAATCGATTTGGGCACATCAGTCTGCACAGGAAGTTTTTTTGAGTGGGTGCAGGGCTTTACGCTCTCTCATCTTGGTTTTGATGGCGGGATAATCATGCTTGAAGGTCTCAACCCTTTGTCACATGCTTGAATCGATTTGGGCACATCAGTCTGCACAGGAAGTTGTTTTTGAGTGGGTGCAGGGCTTTACGCTCTCTCATTTTGGTTTTGATAGTGGGATAATCGTACGCATGTCTGATAGTACGACGGCTCCTGTGGATGCTCGGGTTGTTGGAGAGATTCTGTCTGTAGAGGATGTTGTTCAACGGTTGATCAACTACGATGAAGAGCAATGCCTTGAAACATTAATTCGGGGCCTCCATATCTGCGCAATTTGTTTCAGTGAGCACCCAGATAATTCAGATGCTCCATTTGATTCTTGGATACTCTCCCTGCTGCTCATTTCACAACTACATCTTCATTGTAACTTAAATTTGTTGTTTTGAAACAGTAAGGGAGAACACTACTGATACAGTATATATTGGACACTGAATTGCTGCTCCATGGAGCCAGGGCACCATGATTTATGCACAAATCAAACATAATTTTGGTACTGTTTTTTGAGATTTTAGTTCTGGGGTATAATACCTAATTATTAGAATTCAAATACTCTACATTCTGGGATATTGCCATGTATATCTATTTCAGCGTACCATACTGCTTGTATATAAAATCAACATATAGCAGCAGTCAAACAATCATTAGAAAAAGTAACTACAGTTTGGCTTTAGTACAAATATATCACATATATGCGCCTTAGTTCCATGTAATGCTTTGTTGTTCTCTAAGGCATCCTCCTATCGTTGATGGAAGTACTAGCATTTTTCTGGCAGTGGTAATGGCAGTAGCTTCATTTAGTATGGTTTGGTTTCTTACAACGGTGAACTTCACAAATCAGTTAAAATTGGTGATCACTTCTGGAACATACATATACATCACAGACCATTCACATTATAGGTTCATCTTTAACCCTCTTAAAGATGAAAATGCCATTTCCTTTTGATAATATCTTCAGACAACATAATATCATTGTCTATTTTGCTGAGAGAGAAATGATCTGATTGGATTGTGGAAATCAGTGATAACAGGAGATAGTGAGATACTTTAGTTGATTACTTTGGATCTTAAGAGTACACAGACTGAAAATAATAAGATGGTAAGAAAGATGCAGCATTGTCAGATTAATTTGGTAGCTCTGCACCTTTAATTTACTCCTTTTGCTTTCCAGGGGATGCTTAATGAATGGTTCTGCACAAGTGAAACCAGCTGAGTCTATCGTTTGGAGAAAAAACTAACTTGCTGGGAAGACTGAGCTGAAGTAGAAGGACACATTCTCCTCCTCCTGAGTTGCAGAGTAAATCTTCTCGTCTGCCTTCTCTTTCTTATCATCAGATTCAAAATTGCTTTTTTGGTTATCCAAGCCATTCTCTTCAGCAATGCCGGCACTTTCCACATTATTTTCAGAACACTTCTATGGCACTTCTATAGCATTATCGACTTTCATTGGAGCATCATCCATTTGCTCATCACCTTTACAAGCATCAACTGCCTGCACCCCGCTTCTGCCTTCCTCTGCAACAGCCTCACAGTTGGTCTTCTCCTGACTGTCACCCGCAGTTGCCTCACAGTCAGTCTTCTCCAAACTGTCACCCACAGTAGCCTCACAGTCAGCCTTCTCCAAACTGTCACCCTCGCAAACATCCACGGCGGCGGCTTCACCCTCAGGCTCAGCATCCACATGCAGCTTCATGGTGTCCGACCTGAGCACCCTCTTCGCCACGCCGCCATTCTCGCGCCCAGGAACATCCTTCCTTTTCTTCCCTGCAAGCGTGGGCCCCTCGCCGTCACCAAGGGAAGGTTTTTCCACCTCCAAGGAGGAAGCCTTGGGCGAATCCATCATCAAGGCGTCTTCTATTCCTGGCATCAGGTTTCGCTCCAAACCGTTTAAGCCTCATCCCAGAGCCCTGCGTAATAAGACCAGAAAAATCATCAGAATCACACTTGCACGAAGTGTTGAAGTGATAACCAGCTATCTGCTCCAACTCCTAGCCAGTGTAAAACCTAGCCCAATAATTACGGTCCATAAATTCGGAGCAATGCGATACGAAGCACATGAAATGGTTAAAACCGGCTCTTTTCAGTAAACCTATATGGCAATTCGGGAAACTAGTGAAACATCTTCACATCATTCTGGAACGGAGGGAGTAATAAATAAATAGTTTCACACCATATACAGAGAATTTTCCTGCCACATGACAATTTTTTCCAAACTAAATATCCGGACTGAAACAATTCCATCATCCATCTATGCGCCAACTATCTATTCCAGGCAGGTTTAGCATCACACAACATGCCGTAGCTAAGAATGGAACTAAAAAAAGTTGCAGTAAAATTTTCAGCACCACAAACAAAAGCACCCCAATTTCCTGACCGAATCTACTATAAGGCCATGTATTTTGCAGGCAGATTTTAGGATGGCACAACATACTGTAAATAAGATCTGGAGTGAAATAAACATTCTTTTCAGTGGAACTTTAAACAACCCAAAGCCCTTCTATACAGAGCTAGCTTCAGTTGCAGTAGCAATAAACAGTTTGACAGGCATAGACAGTACAGTCTACAAAGTGTGTTTCCCCAGCAAGATACCCTATACTGAAACAAGTTCTATCATTTATCTATGGGCGATGCTACGCGTCCGCCGATGGATAAAGTTAAAAGATTAGCTGCCTCCCTGACCATTGGATGAAGCTGCGGATGGCTGTGTGATCTACCCACGTGATCCGTCATCTTTGCAACACATGTGTTGCTGCAGTACTTTCTGCAACAGAGGTCTAGTTGCCGAAATTATTCGCAACAAAGGCCAGTTGCATTAAAATTTTAAACTATTTTTTCCTCTTAACCTGTTGCAACAAGAGCCTTTTTGCAAAAACATGCTGTTGCAGAAGACAAAAATCAATTGCGGATCCCACTCCACGCCGTCCAACAGCAACGTTAGATGTCAGCTACGTCGGGACAACCGAGGGGCGGAGGCTGCCAAGGCAATGCAGCGTCGATCTCGCCGGAGCACCACATATCCGGCGGGAGGCAGCTCGGACGAGGTCACCGAGCGGTCGTGGAGAGGCAACCAACGACCGAGCAGATGGAGCATGAGAGCAGGTCGGGCCCGTCAACGGAGGAGAGAAAGGAGGAGGAGAGAGGAGAGGGCCCATGAAGGAGGAGAGCATGGTCGTCCACGCCGGCGTGTGGGGATCCAGATCTTGCAACAAGCTAGTTGTTGCGGGGGCAAAAATTGCAACAATAGTCCAGTTGCAAAGCTAGACCGTGGAAAAAGGATACTTCCAAGCCATCTGATTAAAGAAACATCCGATGAGCATAAAGGCGATAGATGCGCGCAGAAAGATCGGTCGGGTGAACAGAAGAGTTTCCCTTTAACTATCTATCCCAAGCAAATTTTAGCACTACACATCAACATTTTGAGCCAAGGATGAAACCAGACATAATTTTAACCAATATATGCAAAATAATTAATATATTTTTGTGCAGTAGAAAGATAGACCCAGAATGAAGAGATTATAGATATTACTAATGGGGTCAATTTAATTTCCTATAATTTTCATTTGCCCCAAAACATCTGAAATAATTCATGCAGACCACTGGATGTCGGGTCATTTGAGATAAAATTCATACATATGAGTACATCATAGGAGAGAAGTACTATGTTCTTCCTTTCTTCCGGTGCCTGTCGACCAACCAAATGATGGCACAAAGCGAAACCCAACAAATGGAAAGGAAAGGGGTCTCTCACCCTGCGAAGTGAGTTTTGGGGGCGGCTACAGGCAAAATAACAACTACAACTGCTGGTGCAGGTGTCGTCATAAACATACTCATATATATGTGCCTAATCATATCCTTGGTATCTATTTAAATCATCAGGGAGACATATTAGATGACAAAGAAGTATACTGCAGGCAATTCAAGACATCTATAAAGGGCAGCCCGGGGCATGTACCCGCTTGCGCAGGATCCGGGGAAGGGTCCAGCCACTTTGGGTCTATAGTACGCAGCCTTTCCCTACATTTCTGTAAGAGACTGTTTCCAGGACTTGAACTATGGTCTGTGGGCGGTGAAGATGAGGTCACAAGGCAGCAGCTTTAGCACTACGCCAAGGCATACATCCTAGAAAAGCATTGACTACCTTAAGAATAAATTTAGATAGAAACAGAAAGGATGAAAACCTGCAACAATTGGCATTGCAAGGAAAATATTTTCTGGTGGTCATTAGAACAACATGGCACTTACTTTTTAGTCAAATTCAACCTGGAAGAAGTTGAGAGCAATTGTTCCTAAAAGTGCACCCCCTCAACAAATTTTAAGAAGTCTGTGTATGCACGTTTAATTCGAATAGATCCTATTCAAGAATAGCAATTGTTCACAAAGCCGGCATGAAGTCACTACCTCAAAGAGGGACAGATCCATCGTTGTCAAATTGGTCCACGTATATATTTTACAATTTGAAGAAGGCGTCTCCAACAATATTAACTTTGGAGATTTAACTTATTTGACTAATTTGGTTCGATAGAAAGGAGGGCAGACTGTGGGACTAAGAAATAGAGGAAGCAAGTACGGAGGAGGAGAGGCCGGGGGAGACCTTGGACTTGACGGAGCGCTTGATGAGCAACCAGAGCCCCGGCACGGACAGCACGAAGAACCCCAGCGAGGTGTAGTAGCGCGCCTGCGAGTACCCCGTCCCCGCCCCGACGGTGGCGTCGAGGAGCACTGCGGCGCTGTCGAGCGACGCCGTTGCCGGGTTTAGCCCGACCCCTCTTCGTCGGCTAGCCCCTGCTCGGCGCCGGAAGCAGGCATCCGCCGGCCGCGCGGCGCAGAGAGGGAAAGGGAGGAGGACGCGGCTCGTGGAAACGCAGGCTTCCATTTCGTTGGGCGCAGATGCACGGGACGATGGCGGTCGCCGGCGCCGGATCGCGGAGCTCCGATGCCAAACAGCTGCAATACCAGGGCGAGGAGGTGCCGGGCCATTGGTGGTGGAGAATGTTAT